ATGGGCGCCAGAGCAGCCGTCCTGGCGTGTCTTCGACGTCGGCTGAGGTCACTGGCGGTTAACCTCCGGCAGCTGACGTGTCCTATTAGTTTAGGGCTAATTACCTACTAATTACCCTCCCCGAATAACTAATAGTGGGTCCCACAAGTTTATTAACTTGGCTAAAAAATAGTTAGGCTGAATTAAACCCTGTCAAATGACTGAGTAAATGACATGTGGGTCCCAGGTATCAGGTTTGACCCTGGACCGGGCCCGTTGACTGATGACATCACTCTGACGCACAGCTAACGCAGTAAATGATTTCTCGATTTTTAAATAATTCAGAAATGATTTATTAATTCTATAAATTAGTTAAAACTTCTAAAAATCATAGAAAAATCAACCGTAACTCCAAATGAAATAATTTGTATATGAAAAAATATCAGAAAAATATGAAGAATCTATTTATGGCCTTTTCATGCATATTAAAGCAACTTATACCTGTTGATCATGTCAAATCAATTAAAGGGCATTCTAAATGCTTCTTTTGGAGTTTGAATTTGAATCTTTGATTCAAATGAACTTCAACTAACATGGTAGCATTTTGCAATAGCGCAAACACTAGCATATTGCCATGTCATGATCATGCATCATATTGCTGTATTGCATTAATTGTGTTCCTTCTATGTTTGCCGGTGTTTGTTCCTTCTCGGTAGAAGAAGATTTCGACGTCGTGATCGTTGACACCGATTGAGAGCTATAATATCTTCAGAAGTGCCAAGCAAGCAAACCCCCTTGATCACTCTGATACAATCCCACTCTCTCGCTCCTGCTCTCTTTTACTACATTAGGACAACAACAATTCAACTATTACATGTTGCGATAGCTGAACCGATTCCTCTGCATGACCTGTCTTTGCCACAGTAAATAGTAAAACCCACTAGCATGAGTAGGAGTTCCTTGAGCCATGATGTGCTTACTCATTCATGCTTGTTTGCTATGCCTGCTATGCTTAGAGTAGTGTCAGGTCCGATTCATCTGGTATTGATTGGAATGGTGGTGTTCATGTCCTACCTTGTGAGAGCTAAGTGTGTGAACACGATTTGGTAAGGTAGCGATGAGAGGCCATGTAGGAGTACATGGTGGGTTGTCTCATTGAAACCGTTCTCAGGAACCGAGTTCTGTGTTTGTGATCCAAGACAACTACTACCACACACTGGGCTCCGGGCGCTCCAAGCTCTCTTGACTTATTAATCGCCTTGATCTCTATCCAGGAGTCACACTAGTTTCTGGTGTTTGTAGGACATGTGTTGGAGGCCGTGCATAGAGATGACCTTAGGGGTGGGCTATGATGCGGTATATACACCAAGGCACGGTGTACCAAGGCACCCGTTTGGTGGGCTTGGGAACCCTGCACACATTGTTTGAGGCCATGAGTGAAACATTGGCTGGACTTCCTTTACGGGTACAACCTCAAATAAGCGATAAACCTGGACTAGAATCTCGTGTGGTTAGTCAGGTCATGACCGACACCCTCACCAGGCTTCCGCTTGAAGGTTGTCGAGATACATGACGTGTATATGGTGGTAAGTGGTGAGAGTGTGTGTGAAGAAGTACACCCCTGCAGGGTTATCAAACTATTCGAATAGCCGCGTCCTCGGGTATGGACTACTTGGAAAGCTTATATTGTTCATAGATAACTTGAAGTGGATACTCTAAAACATGCAAGATAAGCATGAGTGCTATGGATGGCCTTCTCGTAGGGAGACGGGAGCGAATCCATAGTGGTGTATTGATATGATGAATATGTAGACTCGTGTGCGCTTTCCCACCTCGAAGAAAATTAGTAGTCGTAGTATAGGATAGCCACTGAGTCAAAGCTGGCTTGCTGCAATTAAACCCTACAACCCACATTGTTGATACTGACACATAAGTATATAGTTCTGATGTAAGTCTTGCTGAGTACATTTGTACTTACGTTGGCTTAATTTATGTTTTTGCAGAGGAGACTTTAGTCTCACTGGTGGTTTCTACGATGAGTTCTACATTGACCGATTAGTTTGGGAATCCCAGACAGAGGTCTGGTTCCTATGGAGGGTCTTGTAGATAGTCAGACTTCTCAGCCTTTTTTGTAGTTGTCTGTACTCAGACATGTTACGTTTCTGTTGCTTGTATGACCTTGTATGTTGGGTCAGGGAGAATATCACATATAAACCAATATTCAATGAAAACTTCGTGAAAACCATATTTTAAAGTTTCAAAAAAATGTGAAAAAATATGGGATGTTAAGAGGGTGATGTTTTATTGCCACACAAAATTTCAAGTTGAAACACATTACGAGATGTGAGCTATGAAAAAGACAAACTCAGCCTTGAATAGTGACATTATTGTTCGGCACTGCTCAATGCTGATTTTGTCTTTTTCGTAGCTCACATCTCGTAATGTATTTCAACTTGAAATTTTGTGTGGTAATAAAACATCATCCTCTTAACATCCCCTTTTTTTAGATTTTTTCTGAAACTTCAAAACATCTACTTCTCTTGGTTTTCACCGGTTTCCATCGAATGTTGGTTTCCGTATGATATTCTCCCGTTGGGTTATTACACCCATGTTTGTAATATCATGCTATGTATGGCTCCTCGGAGCCTCTTAAAGAAATACTTTGAGTCGTAGAGTTATGTTGTGATGCCATGTTGTATCTACACATGTCGAGCATATTGTGTGTGCGTTATTGAAATGCTTTGGTATGTGTGAGATTCGACACCTGGTTGTTTATTCTTGGTAGCCTTTCTTATGGGGAAATGCCTCCTAGTGATTCCATCCGGAACACATGGATTGATCGGCATGTGTCCTTCTTTGCTCATGTGTTTGTCCCTACGGGGAATGTCACGCGGTGTTTACGGGAGTCCTTTGTAGCCTCGCTACAACTCGGCTACACTCAATGCTGACCGACATGTGCATTGTTGGGTCATGTATGCCTGTCCCTGTAAGTTTGTGGCATCTTGGTTTTACGCCTAGTCATGTCGACTCGGGTTCTCTGTCACATGGATGCTAGCATCACAATCGTATACGTGAGCCAAAAGGCGCAAACAGTCCCGACCAAGGTAAATGCGGCAGCCGTGGGTTTTACCGAGCGTGATGCCGCAAAGTGATATGATGTGTTTTATGCTAGATCGATGTAACTTAGGATCGGGATCCCGACAGAAGTGTAAAGGATGGTCAATATCGAGGCAATTTCACTTTTTTTGGGACCATGGCAAATTTTCATTGCTTTTCAACCATGGCTAAATTTACCTTTTTCTCATGGCAAATTTACCTATATTTTGGCATGGCAATTTTAATGTAACACACACCACAAATTTTATTTTAAGCGCTAATGACAAATTTCAAATGTAGTTAATTTGCGGTGGCAAATTTTCATTATAAAGCCCACATTTTAATTTTTTTGCCGCGACTACTATAAGCCCAGTTTGTGATTTTTATGAACAATGGCAAATGAAGTAAAAATTTGGGCTTTCTTTTGTGTAGCTACTGGGCTTTATTTTCATTTTTCATTTTTTACATGGAAAGGGCCTGTATGGGGTGATTTGTGTGTGCATTCGGGCTGTGGGGCTTCTCCCATCGAATGAAATCGTTCGGTGGGATTGATCGCTCGTACCGAATGTCTCGTTCGGTCTGGGGGAACTCCAGAACGAACATGTAGGTATTATCTGCGTTCTAACATTTTTACTCCCTTCGTTTTGTTTAGTCCGCACATTACGTTTGACTGATTTTTTTTAATGTTTGACTAAATTTATAGAAAAAAATATGAAAATTATAATAAAATATCTATACGATGTGAAAATACATTCAATAATAATCTAGCGGTATTGATTTGGTACGCTAATATTTTTTATATAAATTTGGTCAAAGTTTATAAAGTTTAATTTGAGACGAAAGCTAATACGAGGAAGGCGAAGAGTCGAAATCGTCGCCTCAATACACGGCGGCCCCACCTCTACGCACCCATCGATGACCATCCATCCCCGAAGTCTCCGAACCCACGTCGCCACCCCGCCTCTGTCGCTCGCTCGCTCGCTCGGACTGCTTCTCTCTCCTTTTCGGCCCGAAAACCAAAGAGACGCAGCGCGCGCACGCCGACCGAACGTCGGCCAGCCGAGGCCGAGCCGTCCCGTACGTATGGAATCCCCCCTGGGCACGGCATCCGCGTCCGCGACGTGCCGCGCCGGCCAACCGTCCCTCCCGATTTTAATTCGGCTCCACCCCCGACGGCCGGTCAGTCAAACCCGCCCCCACCCATCCAACGGCGGCCGTTCCCCAATGCCTCCGCCCGCTCCCCTCCCATCCACGCGCCCACCGC